CGATACTATTCGCGAGGCCGAGGTAAGCCGTCCATCTCGACGCACTCCTATATATCTGTCTTCCACGACGTGAACTATTTGCTCTCGGATCTAAGGCGAGGGGTGCATCCTTTGTGCCTATCTCACTTACTCGAGCAGCTCTTATTTGAAGACCCCGGTCTCACTAAGGATGACGTCAAGGTTTGTTCTAGACCAGACTACTACACGATCGGCGCACTTCGCTGATAAAGCCTATCTTTTGTCCAAAACTTTGGACTTGACTCGTACATTGACTTACTTTTCTCGGTCGCGTGGTGATCGGTTCATCCGAGCCCGCGAGCGCCTTGTGTTCTTTTTGAACTTATTTACAGGTTTGAAGGATGAGAAGGCTAGGCTCAGCCTTAGGCACCGCGTGAGGCACTTGAGCTCGGCCTCGACCACCTCGTGGGGCACTTGAGCTCGGCCTCATCCATGCGAGCTCAGCCTCATCAACGCGAGCTCGGCCTCATCAACTCGAGCTCGGCCTCGTCCACGCAAGCTCAACCTCATCAACGCGAGCTCGGCCTCATCCACTCGAGCTCGGCCTCATCCGTTCAAGCTCAGCCTCGACCACCTCGTGGGGTACTCGAGCTCGGCCTCGGCCTCGGTCATCTCGTGAAGGGGCCAAAGACTCCCAACGGAGCCGAGCATGGACACTACTCCCCTTTGCCTCGGAATTCTTCTTCGGCTTAGGGAGTGGGGGACTCCAGGTGCTCGGCTCGTGATTGTTACATCTCACATCAGGAGAGCCCTCGACTCCGGACAACGAGTCCGGGGGACTTGAAGATCACCTTTTTTGAGATTCACACAGAAGACCTCACCCCCTAGCAATGTTTTCTTGATCCACTCTGTGGGACGAGATGTACTCTTTTCTTGACCGAGTATATTTTTTTCCCATCCTCATGGGTTTTTTCCTCGGCAAGTTTTTAATGAGGCATCTCCCGTGGAGTGGGTCACACATTGACGGGATTGTGGGAGAATGACAACTTATTCATCCACGCTTATTGTGATTATTGCACTCTGAACAGCGAACCGACGATGTACTTTGTATGAGAGCAGATTGTTTCAAGACAATGAACAAATTGGTGCAAACTTTTCCACTTTGCCGCTCCGGACAGCGAGTCAGCAGTGCACCTAGTACTCACAGCGAGTTGGCATTACATTCCAGACTGATGGTGTTGCTTGCCTTACTTCACCGTGCTCGGGACAGCGAGTTGGCGGTGCACTCCAGACGCAAGGAAGACGGTGCCCTTCAGTGGTGGATTCTTGTTTACTTCCACTTCGCCTCGAGTTCCTCTCGGCTCAGGAAGTGGGGGAATCATGATGGATACCCTGGACAGGGGGTATCCGGTCTCTGTATAATATTAGTCGGGGCGGTCCAGTCTGTTGGACCGGCCCGTTAGTCGTCTGTTGATTATTTATTTAAAGGCAGCCTAGTTTGTTGGGCCGCCCCATTGGTCTTTGTTTGTAAACCCTAGCCCTAACTCTCCCATTATATATACCCCTCTTCTTGGAAGAGGGAAGGGGAGAGGAGCTCATTCCACACGCTCCGGACTTACGTTCTAAGTGATACTCTTACCAGCACATTATTACTCTCAATCCCCTTGACCCCTCATACCTTGTGCGCTCGTGCTTAGTTCGATACTCATCTGCCTAGTTACCTAGACCTCCGGGTTCCATAACCCAACATTGGTGCTCTCGTTGAGAGTGTCGAACACATCAAGCGTGCTCGACACAACTTTTCTTCGATTCCTTTTTCATCTTCCAGCCAATGGTGACTGTCGGTGGAGCTTTAATCGGCAGTCCACACTGAAGCAAACCACTTCTTCTTCCATTCGTGTTTTTCTTGGATTAAACGGAAGAATTTTTTCCAAAATTCCTTCCGCATGTCCAGTGACGGTCCATCAGCTTCAGATCTGATGTTAGCTCTGTTTTTGATGTCGCTAAAGGCGAGGCCGTTCTTGCAGACCACAAGTCTCGGGCGAGTCCTCAAGACGGAAGACCAACGGCGAGTACATCCAAATCCGGTGGCGGAAGAAGAATTCCTGGAGTCTCGTCCCTCCAAGAAAGGCTTTGCATATGCCGGACGATGCTGAACCGACAATCTTCTCCCATCGGTCGGTGAAGTTCCGGCGATCCCTGCACTCCGACGAGCGCAGCGGCGACAAACTCCCGGCGGTAGATCAGCGACCAACGACCGCAACAGCAGACCGGTGCAGCCCACGGCGAGCAAGTCCGACTCCACCTGCCCGACTACGACGCCAGTCCAGGCCGGCAGCGACCCACCTCCATCCTTCCGGTGATGGCTTCTCGGTGTTCAGGCCTACCCTATGGACGTCGACGCCGGTGATTCAATTGTCAATCTGACAAGTGCTCAGGCCTCCTCGATGCGTGGGACCTTTTGATGCGCATGACTGTTGCTTCTGTCAACCTGCCGGGTCTATAAAAAAAAAGAAAGGAGCCTGAAATTTCCTACTGTAGCAGTATCTCTTATGATATGGTCCATTGATTTTGTTGGCTCGACCCCAAGCAAGATGGTGGATCTCAATCAGCAAAAAAAAGAGATAAGTCTCTTTACCCGTGACACCATCATTTCAACTATTCCATATTTATTATTTTTACCATATTATCAATATCATCATTGATAATATCTACTCTATTATTATTACCATTACCTTGTCCACCACATGTGATCAGACTTCACTTGGACGATGGTATTACACTTTGTGTTCAACACTTTAAGCCCTGATGTGGAACAATCGCAAAGCTTAATCTCACACCCCACACAGGCCAGCGACCTGCCTCAGGGCATGGCTCAGATCCAACTCATTTAGTCATTCCTTAGCGAGGTCGGGTAAAACCTCTCTACGAGGTGTTGAAGATCGTCCGCGACGATATTATCGCGAGGCCGAGGTAAGCCGTCCATCTCGACGCACTCCTATCCGTCTTCCACGACGCGATCTCATTTCCTCTTCAACGAGGCCGAGGTAAGACGTCCGCCGCGACGCACTCCCATCCGTCTCCCACGACGCAATTTTATTGCCTCTTCTACGAGGCCGAGGTAAGCCCTCCCCGCGAGGCACTCCAAATCGTCCGTGACGATATTATTCGCGAGGCCGAGGTAAGCCGTCCATCTTGACGCACTCCTATATATCCGTCTTCCACGACGTGAACTATTTGCTCTCGGATCTAAGGCGAGGGGTGCATCCTTTGTGCCTATCTCACTTACCCGAGCAGCTCTCATTTGAAGACCCCGGTCTCACTAAGGATGACGTCAAGGTTTGTTCTAGACCAGACTACTACACGATCGGCGCACTTCGCTGATAAAGCCTATCTTTTGTCCAAAACTTTGGACTTGACTCGTACATTGACTTACTTTTCTCGGTCGCGTGGTGATCGGTTCATCCGAGCCCGCGAGCGCCTTGTGTTCTTTTTTGAACTTATTTTGCAGGTTTGAAGGATGAGAAGGCTAGGCTCAGCCTTAGGCACCGCGTGAGGCACTTGAGCTCGGCCTCGACCACCTCGTGGGGCACTTGAGCTCGGCCTCATCCATGCGAGCTCAGCCTCATCAACGCGAGCTCGGCCTCATCAACTCGAGCTCNCCGAGCCCGCGAGCGCCTTGTGTTCTTTTTGAACTTATTTACAGGTTTGAAGGATGAGAAGGCTAGGCTCAGCCTTAGGCACCGCGTGAGGCACTTGAGCTCGGCCTCGACCACCTCGTGGGGCACTTGAGCTCGGCCTCATCCATGCGAGCTCAGCCTCATCAACGCGAGCTCGGCCTCATCAACTCGAGCTCAACCTCATCAACACGAGCTCGGCCTCATCCACTCGAGCTCGGCCTCATCCGTTCAAGCTCAGCCTCGACCACCTCGTGGGGTACTCGAGCTCGGCCTCGGCCTCGGTCATCTCGTGAAGGGGCCAAAGACTCCCAACGGAGCCGAGCATGAACACTACTCCCCTTTGCCTCGGAATTCTTCTTCGGCTTAGGGAGTGGGGGACTCCAGGTGCTCGGCTCGTGATTGTTACATCTCACATCAGGAGAGCCCTCGACTCCGGACAACGAGTCCGGGGGACTTGAAGATCACCTTTTTTGAGATTCACACAGAAGACCTCACCCCCTAGCAATGTTTTCTTGATCTGGGACGAGATGTACTCTTTTCTTGACCGAGGATATTTTTTTCCCATCCTCATGGGTTTTTTCCTCGGCAAGTTTTTAATGAGGCATCCCCCGTGGAGTGGGTCACACATTGACGGGATTGTGAGAGGATGACGACATATTCATCCACTCTTATGGTGATTATTGCACTCTGAACAGCAAACCGACGATGCCCTTTGTACGAGAGCAGAATCTTTCAAGACAATGAGCAGATTATGTGTTTCTTTTTGCCATTCCGGACAGCCAATTGGCATTACGTTTCTGACATATGGCGTTGTTTGCCTTACTTCACCATGCTCGGGACATCAAGTTGGCGATGTATTTTGTACAGCAAGGAAGACGGTGTCCTTCTATGGCGGATTGTTGCTCTACTTCCACTTCACCTCGAGTTCCTCTCGGCTCGGAAAGTGGGGGACTCATGATGGATACCCTGGACAGAGGGTATCCGATCTTTGTATAATATTGGTCGGGGCGGCCCAGTCTGTTGGGCCGGCCCATTAGTTTGTATGTATGCTCAAACCCTAACCCTAACTCTCCCTATTTATACCCCTCTTCTAGGAAGAGGGAGGGGGAGGTGGAGGAAACAATGGAGGCTACACTATTCATCATCTTCTTCATCTTTACACATTTTTTCCTTTTCCTCTACCCTTGGATTCCTTAATCCAACAAAAGTACATTTAATTAACTTTTTGAAGCTCCTCCAAAAAATTTCAATTTTTTTCAATTTTTCTAGTTTCTTCCATCTTCTTCTTACACCACCTGCACCAACTTCTCTCTCCTTTCTCCAACCAATCACATATTAACATCCCACCTCTTCCAATCTATGATTAAAGTCAAATCTATTTCCTCTCACTGACCGTTTGGCTGGTCTGAGGATGTTTTTGCATCCTTTTTTAACACCTCACCTCTCTCACATTTAATTTAATTAAAAATTAAAAAATAATAATAATTGTATGGCTTCATGCAATACATCGCTATTTTATCATGGAAACCTTTGATGAGGTGCCTTAGTGCCTACCAAAATAACGCTCCTCTAAGAGCTTCACAAATACTCATGGGGACAATGAGATCTTTTTTGCATTTCTATTTATTAATCTTATCCTCGCTATTCATGTGTATCCATTCTTCAATTTTCAATATCAATTCTATTTGGAGTAAACAGATATGTTGGATACGGAACGTATATGTTTTAATTAATATGTCTGAGTATGTATTTTATATTAATTTCTCAAATCATAGGTTCATCTTCTTCTCCATTATTAGAAATTTTTTAGACCTTGTTTGAGAATAGCATTTTCGATTAGCGTAAGCGTTTTGAATAAAATTTTAATGGTATAGATCAATTGTGAAAACGTCAACGTTAAACGCTATCGTCAAAGAGCATTTTCAAAATGATAAAACTAATCTCTAATGTTATTACCAAACAGAATTTTAATCAATAATAATCCGAACATTTTATAAATTTAGATGAATTTAGAGAAATATCTTTACCATATCTTAGTTTTTTTTGTGAATACAATGGCCACTATTTTATTTTTGTTATCTCAGTGTATGGGTCTGATCAGAAGACGCTGCGACGCTGCGACCATGAATCGCACGTGCTAGCCAAAGTCAACTATCAGTCAATAACATTTCATTTGTCCCAACATAATTTTCTTCAAGACAAGAAAGAATTCTGAGTTTGAGGGCATTAGAAATGTACCTAACGCCTATATGCATTATCCACCTTTTAACGCCATGGGAACATTTAACATTGCCTCCATGCGCATTATCATGGGGTTAACAACACTGAGTTAAACGTTTGACACTGTAGAAGATCGTTGCATCACCCCCCCCCCAAAGGTAATCTTTTAGGCCATTGGCCAAATTAAAAAAAACTATAAATATCCCATAATTTTTAAAAAAATATACACGCAACATATTCTTGTTCTCTCTACAATTCATTTAAAAAATATTTATTTTTTTAAAATTTTTCCTACAAACCACCTTTAAAATGAGATCTTTGAACTTATGACGGATTTGATTGAATATATTATAGTCGCTCAATGTAATGTAATTTTTTACGGAGTACTTTTTTTTCCATTCAAGTACTTCTTAAGCCTTTCTTATTTTGTTAATGCAATTTTTTATTTAATGTCTTATATTTAATATACTTTTTTATTTAATAAATTATTGTCATTTAAATTTGATTAAGTAATGAAATGTTATTAATTTAATTTTACAAAATGTGTATTAAAAATTTTTTAAAAAAGTTCGAAGCCTCAATTTAAAACTCTAGGTCTTCAAACTCATTTTTAGTAATATTGTGATCTAAATTAAAACTATGTAACAAAGAGAGAAGGTTTGAAGTCTTAAAGCTTCAAGACCATTTTCACTACTCTAATTGTCACAGATGTTGTTGGACTTCGAAAAACAAAATTGTAAAGAGCATCACTAATGAGAGAGAATAGGGAAGAGAGAAAATTTTGATTGGGCATAAAACTAAACATTAAATTTGATTGGTTGAAAATAAAATAAATATTTTAAAATAAAGATAAAAAGGAGAGTAATGATTAAAGTGGAGTGGGGAAGTTGAATAAAAAATGATGTGGCATAAAAAAATTGTAATGTGGAAAAAAATAAGAGAAGAACCATTAAATTTAAGACATGAGTTTAGCATAGTTGGTTCACAATATAAAACAAATCAAATTTAAGAAGTGATGATAACATAAAAAATCATTCTCCAAAATCAATCGCCCATTATTAAAATGGCCCAACAAAACTATGCAGTCTAAGCTGTATTTTTTCATTAATCAAAGTTCACTATGTTTCATTTGTGGAATTCTTGGTTCTTTGGAAATCTAAAAATGGGGTTTCCCCTTTTCCTCGCCCAGTTATATTCTTTCTCACTGCATTTCTTCTTAACTTTTCTTTTCCTTTCCTCTAAATCCAAAAAAAAAATGTTCCCTTTCATTTTCTTTTCCATTAGGGTACGTTTGGCATACAGCGACAAATTTAGAATTGAATTTGATATTGAAAGTCAATAAAATTTATTTAAATGAAATTGAATTCTCCAATTCTAATTCTAAATCCACATATTTTGTACTATAAAACAGCAAAATTGGAATTTGTCTTCAGTATACCAAAAGCAGATGTGAAAATAAGAAGTGAACAACAAAATCACACAACCATGACACCCAAAAAGAACTAAACCAAACACATGAGTTGAAATACATGTTGAATAGTTCATACAATTATGGGCAAAAACTCTTCAATCAGGTCCATGTTTTTCACATGAACACGAACTTTCTTGCCTCTCTAGAGCCAACCACAACAGTCATATATTCAGTAACCCTACCATTATGCAAACACAGCCTTCCATCACACCAAAGCTTCATGAATCATTAATGAAGTAAACTGTGAGAAATCTCAAAGCAAATTCCTAATCTTTTCCAAAGAAAAGACTTAAAAAAGGGCACAACTGAGGAGCCAAATTTGATCTTTTATTCAAAGATATCAAGGCAATGGCACATATTGTTCATCACAAACAAACAGTAGATCAAATCATAGTGACAAAGAACAATTTTAAGAACAGTTGACAATCCCTTGAGAACAATTTCATTGGTAGTATACCTCAATGGGACATAATCCTGGGATTGATTGTCTTATTGAACCACGTCTTCCAGATGCTTCTTGAGCTCTTCGGAGCAGTTTGATTCGCCCCATCGCCCGCTCTCTCCTGCTGAGGCTTCTTCGACAGCACAAAGTTCCTAACCCCGAGTGACCCGATCGGGTCCCATGGATTGAGAGCTTCAGTCGCAGCATTAGGCGAATAGAGAACAAAGTTATTGAAATCAGATCCGAGAACCGGAAGCCTCCCCTCACGAGCATAGTACTTCAGAGCCGTAACAATCACCGCAGCCACAGGATCGTCTTCGTTCATCACAAACCGGATCGGACCGGCGCTGCCCAGAACGGTGATGCTAACCAGAAGCCGGCGGTTCCCGGCGGCCTTCCCGGCCTGATTCTTCTTCGGCTTGTAAATCAACATATCCGAAAACTCGGTGTAGAATAAATATATAGATTTGAATCGAGAGAGAAGGGGAAATTCGAAAAAAACAAAAAAAAAACGAAAGAATTCGGGAGATCGGGAGGGAAACGAAGAGAGATTTCGAGACCGGAGGGATTAGTCTAAGGATCGACGCCGATGCAGCGGAAGTACCAGCCTTCTTTGCAGGATCCGAAGGAGAAAGAAGAAGAAGCGGAGATCCCCCTTCTGGACAGGGGGGAAATCATCAACAGATTGATCAGAGGTTCCACCATTCACGAACGCGACGCAAAGAAAAAAAGGAGAAAGAAAACGCAGAGAGATTCAAGATGAACACGGGACTTCTCTGGGCTTATATATATGAAGAAGAAGAAGAAGAAAGAGGGATAATTCGAGAACGTTTTGGGGATGCTAATCTTGCGGTCTAGGGTTTGTCGGGAGGAATTGGGGAATATGCATCTACTAGAACAAATGAGGCGTTTGGTTAGTGGGCTGGGTCGGTTTGACCCGGACCCACCGTTTGCCTGTTTGCCACCCACTTTGGCAATTTGATTTTAAGTCCTTTTTGGTACACTTTTCTTTTAATGCGGAGTACGTCCTCCCGTGCAATTATTTCTTGTCTTTCTTTTTTTACATTCTAAATTTTGAGCATGCTACGTTCACAAACAGAATAATTACAAACTCCACAAGTTAACTATTTATGGTTTAAATTCTCATTTAAACTTATTTTAGACCATTTAATTTTTTTAGTAAAGTACATAAATAGTAAGTTTATGAAATTTGTGATGATTGTGTTGTTGAACCAAACATTTTTCCTAAATTTTTACATTCCTTAGCTTATAGCACTCAAATACTTTTGAAGCTCAATAGTCATCACGTCAGTTTTAACTTACCTCATACTTTTATAGGAAATAAGTTTGAAGTGTCGAGGCTTTAAATCTTTATATTTTACTCCATCCGTCCTAAAACTATCTTCTCACTTCTCTTTTTTCTCCGTCATAAAACTACCTTCCCACACATCAAAAAAAGGGTGTCGAATGACCATAATACCCCTCGCATCCAACTACCCTTCTAGCCTCACTTTTACGCCTCCTGTCTGTCACTTTTATCTTTTGGCCTCCTCTCCTTCACCTTATCTCTTATTCCCCACTCTCACTCTTTCTCTTAACATTTTCTCTCTCACCCTTAATCTCAATCGACCAGAGATCTGAATCTCACTTTTATCTTTTGGCCTCCTCTCCTTCACCTCCTCTCCTCCCGTCTGTCACCATTTTCTCTCACGAGATTGAACCAGAGATCTGGTTCATTGATAGATTTAGATCTGCGAGGCGGCAAAGATTGGCAATTCAATTGACCGAGATGAGATCGGTGAGTTGGTTTTTGGTGCGAAGAAGGCGGCTTAGCATTTGGTGGACGGAGGTTCCCTGCACATGTTGGATAGGATTGGATCGGTGATTTGGTTCTTGACAAGGTCAAGAATGCTGAGTTTTGGGAGCTGGCAACGCTTGGCGGCATCTCGGAGACGGCCTGTTGGATACTAGGATGTGTAAGAAGGGGTAAAATTGGAAGTCAAAGCAACAATAATCAATCCCTTAAAAATGGGTTTTAGTCAATGTGGGAAGGTCAAATTAGGACGGAGGGAATATATTTTTAATACACATTTTGTAAAACTAAAATAATAAAAGTTCATTAAATTATTAAATTTAAACAACAATAATTCGTTAAATAAAAAAATCACATTTAATAAAGAAATACATTAATAAAAAACTAAGGCAAATTATATTTGGTCTTGATCTCTTTTTGTCTTCTCTCGTAAAACATGTGTTTTAAGCTCGTTAATGTATCAAGGTCGGTTTTCATTCTTTCGATCTCTTCCTTCTCTTGCCTTTGTTTGTCCCTCTCTTCTTTCCTAATATTAAACACTCAAAGTTATTCAACCATTGCCCGGGCGATATCGTCGTGAGAAGAAACAGAGCCAGACCCTGTCGAACCCGAGGCAGTGGATTTTGCCTTGTTCCTTTCGATAGGCCGTGGAATAGAGTCCTCGTCGTAAGAGTCATCTAGGTTGAAGGGTGGCCTTTGTTCTAACGAGCTGATAGTGTCATCAGCCTCAACCTTGGCGGAGGATCTTTTCTTTTACGATCCGGCCTTGGGGTTGTTGAGTTGTTGTCATTTGGGTGAACGGATTAAAATTGTCTAAATGTCGACATGGACCTTGCCTCAGTGTCCGTCGTCTTGATACCGGGCGGTGGTTTGCCATAGAACATCGGGATCGTTCATCTCACTCTTTTGGGACCGAGAGCATTCCTCGTAAAGTCAGATAAATTTGCAGACTTTATAGTTAATGTGATCTCATTTGGAAGTGAGTTGGTCTCGGATTCGGTAGGAGGAATCCATGTTCATCGCTGCAAAGAACTTGTTCTCGATACGATCCCGTGTTGCATCTTTCGTTTGCTCGACCCAAGCAGACGCCAACAACGATTCTTCCTCTGGTGTCCACTTTTGAATGGACCGTGTCGCCTTGGTCATCGGCCTGTCGTCCTTCGGTTTGTGGCTCTTCTGGCATGCACTTTTTTTGGTGCACTTTGTTATGGTTGAGTCTTCAAAACCAACTACGGGTCCTGGATATTAACTAAGATTTGCATACCATACATCGATGGATTACCGACGTATGATTGGAAAGTTCACATCGCTTCTTGGTTTGGCTCGAGAGCGAACGAAAAAACGTTAAAACCGAAGCGATCCATGTTAAAAAAACACATACTTGTTTTAAGAAAGAGAGAGAGAGATTTGTATTTGTGGTGTGTATTGAACTTTAAAAAAAACAAATTGAATATATAGAGGAGGAGAGGAATTTCTTTATGCCAACAGCATTACAGTCGTTGTGTGGGGGGGGGGACTAAATTTTACTGTTAGTCTTTCAAATCACGATAGCATTGTTAATCTATTAATATTTTTTTTATTTTTCATTATAAATATATGTAAGGAACCCTCTTTTAAAATATAACTTGTATTTTTACCCGTGCGACGCTTATGTCAATTTTGAATTTTTTTTCAATGCAATATTATTTTCCGAACAAAGAAATAATATAGATAAAAATCCAAAGTACAATAAATAATTTTGAGAAATTGAATGTGTACTCAACAAAGTTTGTTTTAATACCAAATTTTCTAAAAGACTTCAGGGTTGGTATGGTTGCAAGAGTTTATGTTGTTATTTAGAACTAATATTTTTAATCATATCTTTGTCTTCACTCGTGAAACAACAACATAAAGCTGACCGTTAATGAACACTGACTTAGTTAAAAATAATCTAACAAATGACAATATTTGATCTTGACTTTTGTTGATAATCATTGCAAAATACAAGACTAATGAGAATTGTCTTATCTAGAACTTTAGGGGTAGTATTGGATCAGACGATACCAAATTCATCTAGTATGTTACTTTTTCTCCGACTTAATTTTCTGAAACCACAATATCACCGACAACGTTCTTTCGGAGTTCTTCAATTATTAATCTTATACCATTACACAATCTAGATGTTTGGTTAATGTTCCTCAATAACATAAATGATACTCCAATTTTCAAAGCTATTTCATGGTTTGGATTCGTGAACATTTGATTTTTTTGAAAACTCAACTTTTATCCAATCGCCATCAACACCTACATATGAATGTGCTTGGCATGAACAACCATAACTCAACTACACAATTTCACCTCCAAGATTGAGGATTAGGACAAATTCATTTACAATTTCTACAACCTCAAGCGTGGTGCGTGCCAGCAGTGCTCTATCCTGAAAAAAGAAAAACTTTGAATATTCTCCAATAAGTTTGGAGAATTGAAGGAAATGTTAGGATGGAAATGAATTGTTAAAACTTGTTTGGTTGGGAGGGGAAGGAAATGTTTTATTTTCAATATTTAATTTATATTTTTCTTTTTTAAACTTGTTTTTTATCTATTTTGAAATTATTATAGTATTCTTTATTTAATTCTTTCATATTATTTTTTTGTGATTTTTTTTATTTTTATTATTTATCCTACTTTTAATTTTTTTATTTTCTTATTGAATTTATTTTTTAAAATGTACTTACACACACATTATTTTATATATTATTTATTACTAAGATTTTTCATTATTAATTGATTGATTTATTTTATTATTATAATTATTTACTATTATTAATTCTTACCTTTTCTTCTATAATGTTTTTATTATTATTTTTATTATGGGTTTTTGTTTTTTTATATTTTTATTTTTATTTTCATTTTAATTTTAAATATTTTTATATTTACTTCTTTATTTTTATTGTTATATATTATCTATTTATTTTATTAGTATACATTTGTTGTTATTATTATTTTTTTTGTTAATTATATAATTATAGGCCAAAATTTGATTTTGGTTCGTTGCAAAAAGTTATAAGTAGATAAATATTCTGGGACGAAGGGAGCGATATACTCCAAACACACTCATATTCCTCTGTCGATGGACATACACAATGCAACGATGATCACATGCAGGATATTGGGATCGTTTGATTTTTTTTCTTGATTGTAAGCTCTTCCCCCCTCATTGAGGAATTGCAGCAATTGTTTCAAAGAAAAATATGACCGTTGAAGAATTACATCCACCACTCATGAAGAAATTATCTGACAAGGGTTATCCTGCAGTGGTGGACAATTCTTTATTTTGCAGGTGTTTAATGTTCAGGATGTTCGAAAAAAATAATATTCTATTTAGTATAAACTGAATCTAACTTATACTCTTTTCCTCCCTAAGTTAAAATCTATCTTCAATTTATGAGTTCACACAAAAGTGTTTAGAATAAAACATTGTTTATTACAGTATAATTTATTTTTAAAAAATATTGTTATTTACATACTCCCTTCGTCCTAAATAGATTATAAATTGCGGGTTACGAAGTAAAATTTCTAACTTTTTTGAAATCATTTTATTTACAAATTGGTATATCAATAAGATATAAAAATTACTACCTTCGTCCCAGAGTATTTGTCCATTTTCATTTTTACACACCATCCAATACACTTCTTTAATCCATTTTATCTTGTAATTTGTATATTAAAAAATTATAGAATTTATATATTAATAATATATATGTTAAGACAAATCAAACAAGATCACACGTGACTATATTTAGGCTTACACATTGAGAGAATTTGATGAGTCAAAGTGCTTAGATGAACAGTTTCAAAAGTCAAAACTTGACGAATACTCTGGGACGGAGGGAGTACATACTAAAAAACTACGTCAAAAGTTCTACAAAACAAGAGGTGACAAGAATATTTTATTTTATCATATACTTAATGAAATCGAGTAAACAAACAAAAGTTATCGAGAGGAGAGCGAAAAAAATTGTAATCTATTTAGGAACAGAGGGGTATTCTTTTTTTAAAAGAAATAAAAAAAAGTGACTTTAATCTTGTGGCATCAAAAATTAAAAGTGACTTTAATCCCCACTTTATTTCCCTACATCAAAAGTTAAAACTTAAAAGTGAATAGAAACCCTACCTACTTTATTTTCCTACTACAACTCTTTCCTAGCTAGTTAAACCTATCAGGACGATTTCCATGACATTGTTCGGAGCTCTAGTGTCATGTCCGTAAAATTAATGATTCCTATTCCCTAACCCCGGTAAGCACCCCTATCCCGCCCTGATCCGAACACACCCCCACCCCCTTCAATTGCACCCCACATAACATTGTTCGGAGCTCCGGTGTCATGTCCGTAAAATTAACGGTTCCTATTCCCTAACCCCCGGAAAGCCCCCCTATCCCGCCCCAATCCGAACACACCTCCACCCCTTCGATTGCACCCCACAAGTTAATTTTGACTTTGGAGTCAACTTTTGACTCCAAAGTCAAAATTAACTTGTGGGGTGCAATTGAACGGGGTGGGGGGTGTGTTCGTGTCGGAGCGGGGTGGGAGAGTTTACCGAAAGGGTTAGAAGGGGTATGAACCGTCAATTTTACGAACGAGACACCGGAGTGCCCCGAGTCATCCCCTATTATCCTCTTTGATATTTTTGATAGAGCGCAAATTAAAATAATGACTGCTAACTGCTACACCTCAAATGAGCCAAATAAGTTATACGTATGATATTATGTTTTTTGGTTGGAACAAATTTTTAATAATGGTTTTGAGACGGACAAATAACTGAAACTAGGCTATTGTTTTTTTGCATGTGACATTTACTAATTTGGGTAAATAGCATAGTGACATACCCCTCTTACTATATTTTGCTTACTTTCCAATTTCAAATTCTAGCAACTGGGTTTGAATTGAATCGTGCAAATTAAATCTGAGTTCTCTGTAAGTATTTATTAATTTGAAATTTGGGTAAATTTCACAAATGGTACCTGAACTTTAGCTGGAATTTCGAAGTGGTACCTGAACTTCAAATTCTTTCACAAAAATCCCTGAACTTACACAATCCTTTCACTAATAAGCCATTAGCCCGTTTCTAGGTTAACTTCCGGTCATTAGGGCCAAATTCGAATTTTATATATTTTAAAATTTTCAATTTGACCTCATTTCTTCTTTTCTTTTCTTCCACGCCCCGCCGCCGCCCGCCGGTCAAAGTCGCCGGAAAATGAACTTTTTCCGATTCCGGCGGGACCAATGTCATTCTCTTCGTCTTGAGACGAGGATCAATAATATCCAAACCATTTTGTCTAATTTGGCCTGTAACTTCTCGAATCTGAATTTTTCTACTCAAAAAACCCTAAAATTCGAAATTGGATCTTAAATTGGGGGTTTTGCAAATCTTCATCAAATCCTGCAATTGAGGTGTCTTTGGAGGTCGCCCGGATGCCACGACCGCATTGGAGTTGGTGCCCGCCGTCAATTTCGCCGGATTTAGCCGGAAAAAGCTCCGACCCGCCGGAACACCTCAATTGCAAGATTTGATGAAGATTTGCAAAACCCCCAATTTTGGATCCAATTTCGAATTTTAGGGTTTTTTCGAGTAGAAAAATTCAGATTCGAGAAGTTACAGGCCAAATTAGACAAAATGGTTTGGATATTATTGATCCTCGTCTCAAGACGAAGAGAATGACATTGGTCCCACCGGAATCGGAAAAAGTTCATTTTCCGGCGACTTTGACCGGCGGACGGCGGCGGCGGGGCGTAGATGAAAAGAAAAGAAGAAATGGGGTCAAATTGAAAATTTTAAAATATATAAAATTCGAATTTGGCCCTAATGACCGAAAGTTAACCTAGAAACGGACTAATGGCTCATTAGTGAAAGGATTGTGTAAGTTCAGGGATTTTTGTGAAAGGATTTGAAGTTCAGGTACTACTTCGAAATTCCAGCTAAAGTTCAGGTACCATTCGTGAAATTTACCCTTTGAAATTTTGATTTAAATTATAAAGATCATTTCAATGCTAATAAACAGTACATATTTGTAATCAAAACGTACCATCATGAGAATATTAGGAGTACTAATTTCGAACTTTTGGACTGTAAGAACGTGATAAAAGGAGTCATTCATAATCGAAGTTGGAATGACAGATATAAAGAGTCAAAAATAAAAAAATACTTCCTCCGTCCCAAAAAGTTTTACACATTTTGACTAAAGTGGAAATTAAGGAAGGGATAATTTTTGTATTGACTTTCCAAAAATATCCTTGATGTGATGGGTAAGAGTATGATGTGATGTGTAGATTATTAGAAAAATGTATGATGTGATAGGTAGGGTTTGAAAAAGTAAGGGGTAAAAATGATTTTTTAATAGAAATGTGTAAGGGATTGTGGGACGTAATTTTTTTGAAACGTGTAAATCTTTTTGGGACGGAGGGAGTAATAGTTGCATAAATATGTGTATAATTCATTCAATGACAGAGGTAGTTCGTTCCAAAACAAATACTCTGTATCAATGATGTTCCCAGATAAAAAATTAAAAGTGATTTGCGATGTAAAATGAAGTTTTTTTTGATCTTAATATAAAGAAAAGTCAAATATGAAGTATGAATAAAATTAAGGACATCAGCAACGAAAGGGGGCATGTATATTTACTTATGAGTTATGACATTGAAAAAATATGACCAGTTTGAAAAATTGAATGCATTTGAAAATATGTCTCTGTTGGATATAGTCTAACACAAGATGAAATGTTATTTACTAAAAAAGCTTTCAAAGTGCACAATGTCAATAACTGGTTCTTCTTTTTTTCTTTTACTTGAATGAAAAGAAGATCATTATCATAAATTTTGAATAGGTACACACAAGTTTAGAATCATATCAAAGACGTTGACCCTCTGCACTTCAATATAATAAATAATCACTCTCAAAATTTTCAAAAAAAAATAAAAAATAAATTTAGAGAATGATGATGACTAACATTAACCCATAGTTCAACTTCAGTGAATGTGATTTATTATTGGAAAATAGAGAGATTTTACTGAAATTATTTTCAATTGAATTTTACATTTAAGTTATTTAATCATAATAATTATTTCTAATTCATACGAAGTATTTTAATCATAATAACATTTATTATGCGTATAATCTAATCAATTTTTTGTACAATCTAATCAATATATTATTTTAAAAAATTATAATATTATTTAAAAGTAAATATCTAAATAATTATTAGGATATTTTACCATAAAATCGAACCAATCGATTCAAATTAGAAACATGTTGTCCGATCACCAAATAAGTCTGATGAAAACATACCCAAATCTACACTGGTTTGGCCTGAGCCAATCCAAATTATGATTGATTAGCCCAGCATCTATTCTATCTATTTTCTTGTTGTTAAAAATTTGAAAAATACAATGCTTATGGGCATGATTCAAACCCTTAATTCTTTCACAACTAAAAATTCAACATTTTAACGAATTAGGCATTTTTTATATTATACTCCAAGAACATTAAAGTTAAATACTCCTTAATTATTTTCTCATACAAAACAACTGAAATCCAAAAGAATCTTAGACGACATTTAATTTTATAGATCTTTTGATATAGTTTTTAAATATGTAAGGTTTATTTTTTTAATTCCACACCAATATTCAGCTAAACTGAGTAAATAATTATAAACGATTTAAATTGGAACGAAGCGAGTAATAATTTGAATTACTCATTAATGAGACAAATTAAGTTAAAAAATATTAAAATTAATTTATTTTTTCTCATAAGGAATAAGGAATAGAGAAATCCAAATGAATCTTTGATCACCCAATCCCAATTGGACTGATAATTGATGAAATTATCCGTCCGTCCTCTGAAATGGATCATCTCACCGCTCTCCCCTTTGATAAATGCAGGTCAAATTTCAACGACCCTCTTCTCCATTTCTCTCTCTATCTCTCTAAACCTACCCTTTTCTCGCAACTCTGAGAGAATCTGCGGAGATGGAGATTCAATCGATGGATTTTGAGGCGACCCACCAGCTCGGTTCCGACGCCGGCAGCGACCACGGGTGGCAGAAGGTGTCCTACGCCAAGAAACAGAGGAAGAAGCAGGCGCCGGCGGATTCCGCCAGGATCGCCTCCGACGGATCCGGCCCCGACAATGTGTTCTTGTCGCTGGAGAAGCGCGGCGAGGAGCGCCACCAGAGAATTGAGGCTCAGCGAGCTGCGATGTACTTCGACGACGAAGCTCCGGCGAGATCCGCGCCGAAGCACAGATCCGACGAGGAGGATCCGGACAGCGATTCCGAGGGCGCCGCGCAGAATGGAGCTGTGGAAGTGAAGAAGAAGGAAAAGCAAAAGAAGCCGAAGAAGCCTAAGGTCACCGTCGCTGAAGCTGCGGCCAAGATCGATCAGTCTGAATTATCGGCTTTCCTTGATGAGATCTCGGTAGGGTCAATTCTTTGTTTCGTTTTCCTTTAATTTGTATAAAATTATGGGTTTTTTTCTTGTTTGATCTAATTGAGCATGTTTCTGCTGTTTCAATTCAAGGCATCGTATGATTCAGATACACAAGAAGAAATAATATTGATGCGATTTGCTGATTATTTCGGGCGTGCATTTTCGACCGTGTCTGCTTCCCAATTCCCATGGCTCAAATTGTTCAGAGAATCTCTGGTTGCAAAGATTGCTGATGTGAGCATAAGTCTATCTATAATTTTGATAAATTGTGTTAAAACATGAGCAAATGCATTCCAATCTGCAAAGATTCAATTTTTAATTGAATCCCAGTTGGTATGTAGCTGTTGGGATAATGATCTGGTATGCAAGATGCAATTTTTGCACCTTGGTCCCATCATTAAACTCTAATCATATTAAGTACAGAGTATTTATAATTTGATGTGTGTGTGTGTGTGTGTCTGTCATGTGTTTTTGAAATGTTTAAACTCCTCTATTAGGTGTAATGCTTTTATTTGATTTGATGGGAATGTATGCATTACATGGATTTTGAATGTTCTTCGATATAGATTAGATTGGTAATTGGCGAGCCTGATAAAATTGGATAAAGATTCAAAAAAAAAATCTGTTTTTTTTGTGTTGTTTTTTTTTGGCCAAATGAGTGCTCCTGTGTTTGGAATAATCTATTGCTGTTTTTATAATCTTTCGTGTTTTTTACCGGAATTCCATGCGAACAGGTCCCTATTTGCCATCTCCCTGAACCTGTTTACAAGACTTCGGTTGACTGGATCAGCAAACGGTCTTATGATTTCCTCGGACCCTTTGTGGTGTGGTTGCTGAACAGTATCCTTGCTGATTTAGCAGCCCAACAAGCTGGTTCTAAGGCCACAAAGAAAGGTGTCCAACAAACATCCTCTAAGTCTCAGGTATAATAATGTCTTCAATTTTTTACGGACAGAATTGTATCTTTTCATTGCCATTCATAATATCTTGTCAAGATCCCAAATTAGATGTGCGCTTGGTTGCGAAGGCACATGATGGGTTATCAAAAAAAAAATTTAAGGATAAGGGTAAATGTGAATTTTTAAAATATTGATGATGTTTTATTGGGAATGAATATATTTAAAAGGTGCTTATCAAAAGAAGTATTTCAAGGGCTCTAATTTAGAACTTTTGAATTTTAGTCCATTCTCAAAAAATCAAATGAGTGAAGCATCAAACCTTCAACTTTTAAACCCCTTAAACACTTGACCCCCCCCCCCCCCCCCC